GAGTTCAAACCACTGACCTTTCAGTTAGCAGCTCAGCGCTTAACCACTGTGCCACCAGAACTCCTTTCGAAAGGGTTCACTTGTGGATATCTATAGTTGTGGTGGAGCCCTGTTTCTGCCTGAGAAAACTAAATGCGCATTTGGCAAATGCTGACAGCGACAGTGGGAGCATAGAGTTAAGTGGTAGTCAGTGGAACCGTGCTGCTAGTGGCTCAGGATGTTTCATTTTGTTGAGATTGGGCTTAGTGCGACCTGTTACCCAAGTGTTTCTAAACCAGAGTCAAGGCTGTGACGGGACTGGCTGATGGGAGAAGACTCACCACCCTGAGAAAAAGATACCTATCTGGTGCCAGCCAGGTCTGGGGAGGGGGAGAGGCTGGAGCTTTGGGCTCTTGAGAGGACAAGTGACTGCTTGGGCTGAGAGTTCAAAGCCCCGCTGCATCCTACCTGTGGACATCTGTAGGCACCAAGGTCTCAAAATTTTATGAAGTAAATGAAAAAAGCCCTTTGCAAACCAATTTTTATTTCATCTGTGGACTGGCGACAGCACCTGGATGACATCGTTTTCACCTCTATCACAGTTAGACCAGTTGCAACAATATGGGAAAGCAGGCATTGTGGAACCCAGTGGAAAGTACACAGAAAATTGTGCCTGTGGAAGTCAGAGGCTGTGCAAGGTTGCTCTTCGGTCTGGTTTTTGATAGGTTAGAAGAAGTTTGCCTGGATGACTAAGTTGAGGAAGAGCCTTCCAGGCAAAGGGAATGGGATGTGCAGTGATGTGGGTGCATGGCATAGTCAGTGCTTGATTGCATTGTCCTTTTCTCCTTCCTCCATCAGGATCAGCCTTTTTTTCTCCTTCTACCAGAGCTGACTCCAGCCAGCTCCCTGTTGACCCCCTGCCCTCTACGGTGGGAATTGAAAACTCGAGGCCACTGTGCCATTTATGACATTAGTGCTTCTAGAGGCCCCAAAGGAAAAAGGGCCTAGACGTTGTACCTACTCAGAGAATTATTATCACTGAAGAAAATTAGCTTCAGGGAGGTTAAATGACTTGCCGGGATCACGCAGCTACGGAGCAGGGAGTCACATACCCACTATCTTACGACTCTAAAACCAGTGCTCTTTTCACTAAATTTTCTAAATTACTGTGTACATTTGCTTGTTTGTTGCTAATTGGAACATACTACAATTTGAACATGCTTCCAGTTGAGAACATTTCTTCTTTATCCTTCTTCTCCACCCCATAACATTGACTGGTTTGTGATTGATTGAATAGTAATGAATGCTCTATTTTTAGCCACTGTTTTTTTCACTTTATGAACAATCCCACTCTTCCCCTCAAGTTAAATCTGAAAGGCTTTCAGTTGTTTTGGCCAAAGAAGGTAGAATTGGTTCCAGCAGAGATGTTTCCTGTTAATCATAAAGATTTTGAATGATGTTGTAGATTAGTCTATTAGTTGCAGTATATTGTCCGTGAACCAGAGAACCTCAGTCAAAGGCACTGCAAAGTAAACTTTGTTTCCCTCGTGATTTTGAATTTCAGGACTTCCCAATCTCTCTCCTGAGTGCAGGTACTGCAAAAGACTTTCCTTCTTTTAAGACACTAGAATTGTTGAATTGCCAGAAAAGTTTATCAACATTCACTATTTTTATTTCCCATCCTATACTCATCTCTCTCCAATCCAGTCTAATTAGAGTTTGCATGAGGACTGGATAACAGGAAGTACTGGAAAACACATTGCCGCTCTCCTTTTCCTTTTCTTTTTAATGTGAGCCATCTGAAATGAGCCCAGTGCAAGAGTTTCAACATCAAACGCTTGTGAGCCAAGTGAACACATCTGTTTCAGTGTTCCAGATGCAAGGTGGATCTGGGTGGATGCATCTGACGTTTGAGCCTCATGCAGCCAGTGGTCACTTTCCCGAGGATATGCTCAGCCAGTCTAGTTGGAGTTCATTCTTGCCCTACTGAAGAAACAACTTCTTAAAAATTCACAATAACCACTGGCCCCCACAGGTATGCTTCCTTATCTGAAACCCCAAGGAAGCATATGGCCAACTGAATGTAATTGTGTTAAGTGTTACCCTTTTATGTGGTGGTGAGATTACCTCATATCATCTGATACCTATTTTTACAGTTAAGGGAATGATGCTGGGGTATTGATTTAACAGCTATATATAAGGCCTCACGAATCCATCCAGGGATAGATGGAGGCAGGGAGCCACAGAAGTTCAGGATAATGTGTGACGTAGAAGCCACGGAAGTCAACTGAGCCCACTTCCCAAATAGCCCTTTATGGTGTTGTCAGAGAGCACGTGCCCTGAGCTAGTGTGGGACTTTTTATGCTGCAGGGAGAGGTCAAATTTAGGTTCTAAATTATGTCCCGTCTGGGCATTTGGCGAATATTGACAGCTACAGTGGGGACAGATCCTTTTCCGACATGATCACGATGTTGTTGTATTAGGACCAAATCAGGATGGACGTATGGCGTAAAAAGAACACTTTTCTTTTCTTGGTTGGGATTTTCATTGTTGTTGTTGATTTAAGGTATTTTGTTCTTGTCATACTGTTACCCATGAATTGTGGAAGATCACGACTCTCTCTTCACTCATTCAGTCTATCAACAAATATTTACTGAGTAATTTACCATGCTGGCACTGGGAATATAGATATGATTAGATCGTAGTCCCTTAAGGACTTCTGAGGCTAACTGGAGAACAGGGCTTTGAACTGTTTCGTTCCGGTTTGAACCTCTGATTCAAACCCACCAGTGGCTCCATAGAAGAAAAGACCTGGCAGTCTGATCCCATAAAGATTACAGCCTTGGAAACCCTATGGGACAGTTGTACTCTGTCCTATAGGGTCACTGTGAGTAGGAATCAATCACTGTCAACAGGTTTTTTTTTGTTTTGTTTTTTTAGTATTACACATGTACACAACACATACACATACAGATCCTTAAGCTCTGTTACACAGAGACACACAAACATACGCATCTCCTCATACACACACCCACTGCCTCATTCTGCTCTTGGGGTCTCTTTTCTGTGGTTTTCAGTGGCCCTCAGGTTTTTTTCTGGCATGGAACACCTGAGCAATATGTATTTTCCCACTGGTAACATAGGCTGACTTTGGCAGTGATTCTCACCGTGTTCATTCTATAAACTCTCCAGTAGGCACGTAAGAATCTCCAGGGAGATGTACGACATTTTTACGCAAATAACTCACACCTTCTGTGTTTGCCAGCCACGCCCTCCCCCAGCAAGGCACTCTCACAAGTGCGACTATGCCAATCCTCTTCCACATGTTGCTGGAAAAAAATTAGCGCAGTACACTTATGAAAATACCTCGAGGCAGGGTGGCGGGGGGAGACATGGCTGGCAAACAAAGGCAGAAGCTATGCGTTATTTGCATATAAATATGGTATCTCATTTGAAAAAGCCTACCCTCCTTCATCATTACCACCACCACCCCCCCCACTGGCCATGATTTGATGTATCTTCCTAGGACAGTTTTTCTCCCTGACACCTATTGAGAATCAAATGGGATATTGAACACCTGGTTTTGAATAGTGCCTGATGAGAGTTTCTTACCCAACTTTGATTAACCTCTTGAAAGCGGTGCTGTCCAATAAAACTTTCAGTGATGATAGCAGCGTTCTGTATGTACACTGACCTGTATGGTAGCCACAGCCACATGTGGCTTTTGAGCCCTTGAAATGTGACTAGCGCAGCTGAGGAGATGAATTTTTATTTTATTTAAATAGCCACATGTGGCTAGTGGCTACTGTATTGGACAGTGCCACTTGAAGGAGCCAGGACCTTAATGAGCATGCTAACAAAGCCATAGGGATATTTGTGAGAGGCAGAGTAGTATAACAGCAAGAACCCAACCATTCAGAATCAAACACACCTTCGGAATTAAACTTGGCTCCAAGCTAGTGAATTTGGGCAAGTCAGCTTAATCTCTCTGAGTCTCAATTTTGCCATCTACAAATTGGGTATGATCAAAGATGTATCAGCAAGTGGGGTGGTGAGAGCCCTCTGCCCTATAGGGGAAGAATATTTCACTTCTCACATTGTTTAGAATTTTTGTTGCAAGTTGATAATAAAAATCAGACCTACTTTCTGTTGGTCTTATTGTTTTTAGGTTCTTTGCAGACAATGCATCCTCTTATTACCTGACCCAGTGTGGACTAATCCAGTGTGCACTACTCCCGCTCCCCACCCATGTTAGGGTGTGATCACACATACCTGAAAGAGCTGTTATAAAGTTAAAATGAACAGTATTAGTAAAGCACTCAGCACTGTGCTGGGCACATGGTTTTCAGTCATTCATTCAACAAGTCCTGACTGTGATAGAGTGGTAAACAGACGAGATAAAGGACCTGCTTACTAAACAGAGGAGCAGACATTTAATAAATGGTAGCTAATAATTTTATCTTGTTTTGAATTGCTTTTTAATGCTTTTTCTTTCTTCTTTTAGTTTTTGTGGAAGTTAGAACTGGCTCACGTGTATGTAGATGTAGTTGTAGTTGTACATATGACATAAGTGGTTGTTACCATTTTTCGGCTATTATAAATAATGCTGTGAACAGTTATAAACAGTTTTCATGTGGATGTATGTTTTCATTTCTCTTGGGTATATACCTAGGAGTGGAATTGTTGGGTGATACGGTAACTCTGTGTTTAACATTTTAAGGAACTGCCAGACTGTTTTCCAAAGCACTTACACCATTTTGCATTCCCACCAGTGGTGTATGAGGTTCCAGTTTCTCCACATCCTTGCAGCACTTACAAGTGTTTTTGATTCTAGCCATCCTAGTGAGTGTGAAGTGGTATTGCAATTGTGGTTTTATTTACATTTCCTTGATGTTTAATGAAGTTGAACGTCTTTGCATGTGCTTATTGGCCATTTGTATGTCTTCTTTAGAGAAATGTCTATTTAGATCTTTTGCTCATGTTTTAATTATTTGTCTGTCTTTCCATTTGGGCCTGAGCAGGATGCTGATATGCTAACTGGTAATGAACAAGTATGGAAGGAAGTTCAAGAATCCCTGAAAAAAATTGAAGAACTAAAGGCACAATGGAGTATCCTTTTATCTCTGGGTTAAGTTGGACTGTTGGGATTGCTTCCTTATTGGCTTGAACCTGATATCAGTGAGGCTAAGTCCAGGAACTGACCTCTCCATGAGTCAGTGGTCCTCGTTCTGCTTCATGCTTATAGGCTATATCCCTGATGCCAGTCAAAAATTTGGGTAACGGCTAAGGAAGATTGTGGCAAGATCAGCATGAATACCTCACCACCATTAGATAATGACCCAAAATTTGTGGCTGCAGTATTAGGACAGTAAGTGGTATTCTCTTCATATGTAAATGGTAACATATTCTGGATTCCTTTCTCCTGTAACTACCTACATCTCTAGGAAAGTATAGCTTAGAATCCTTATAATTTAATGTCATTGACCTTCAGATCTAGAAGCTTCATATTAAATTATCCTTAACTACAGTGGCAATAGGGATTACTGCACAATCAATTTTCTTGGCATAAATAATAAGGACCTTGAATGGGTCAAAGTTCAGAGTCAGGAGAGATTGTTTATGATGGGGCATCTTGTTAGGCTCCATTGATGTTATATTTTTTAAGAGGTTGTCCTGAATCAGAGACAGGGTTTAGATAGGCAGAGGCTGGGAGGGAGGTTACTCCCAGTGGAGGAGCTCATGGAGGCAAGTATGTGGTGAAGGGAAATCACAAGATAAGAAGAAAAAGAAGATCAAAGTGATTGAAAAAGATTGTAAAAGATTATTCAGATTCCTTGGGTAAATTATATCCCAGGCACTAGGAGAACCTGCAAATGAGGTTTCTAATCTACAGTGTTCTTTAAAGAATTGTAAAGGACAGGAGACATAGTTAAACAAATGTTTCTATTTTTATAAGTAAAGTAGCAATTTCTGAAACATGTAGCACAGTGAGTTTGTTAGCAGTCCTGGTAAAGAATCTAGAATTAGTTACCAAAGGAATGGAGAAGAACACTGTGATCACCAGGATGCTGTATGGATTCACTAAGAGCGAGCGAATCCATAGATTCATGGCTAATCACGTGCCTTTTCTGGGTAAAGTTTGCATTTAGATTTCAGAAAGATATTTGACAAAAAAAAAAATTCAAGAAGTTTATGCTAGATGCTAGCATAACTAGGTGTCTTACTAAACAGTTGAATAGCTATATTGAAAAAAGTGATGCTAATTGGACCACTGTCACCTAGGAGGGCTCTGTTCTCATCTCAGTCCTCTTCAACCTTTGATTCAGTGCCTTGAATGAAGATATAGAGCACAGGCTCATCCAGTTTCCAAAGATGTATAGATGAGAAGCCTGGCAGAGGGAGGATGACGGAATCAAGAACTCAAAAGATTCCTGTAGGTTTGGATGATGCTTCAGCCTAAAAAGATGAAATTTAAAAGGGCATATGTCAGATCTTCTATTTGGGTCAAGAAGTTCAACTATATAAATATGCATAAAGCTTAGCAGCAGAACGTATGAAATATTTTAGAGTTTTAGTAAGGAGCAAAATATAATAAAGTTTGAGTATGATATAACCTGCCCAGAAAGACTACTATGATTTGGAACTACATTAATAGAAATACAGAATATTGGCTGAGAGAGGTGATATTGATCTATTTGGACTTTTCTATTCAGTTTGAGATAGAATATATTAAGAGAGATAATAGAAAAATTGAAATCAGGTTTGAGGAGTGGAACCAGCATCAGAGAGGAATTAGAAACTCTGTCTTTAGATGGGATGGAAGATCTTGGGAAAATTGCAGACTCTGGGAGGAAGAGGACCATGTTCATTGACTCAAAGGCTTTTTACACTGATGAGGAGCAGACTTGTTCTGTGTGGTCCTGTGAAGCAGAATTAGGGCCCATGGATGACACAGCTGCAGTTCAGTCTCGATTCGACAGGGTTTTACTGAAAACTGACTCTATGACCAGGGACCTTGCCAGACACTGGGGATCTACTGATTAAGAAGACACAGCCCTGCACTCACAACTCTCACACTTAATGGGGTTAGTAAATAAGTAAATAAATACATCTTTTGGTAAAGATATATACTGTAGGGGCATCAAAGGCAGAATTGTTGACTTTAGGAGGTTAAAGAAGGTTTCACAGGGGAGGTGACAATTGAGCTGTGTCTTGGAGGATCAGTAGGTGTTCACCAGGCCAGCCAAGTGAAGAAGGGCAGTCCGTCAGAGGGAATAACCTTTGCAGAGGCCCAGAGTGTGAAATAGCATGGTATCGGGGAATTGGACCAGTTGTTCAGTATGAGGGGAGGGGAATGTGGCAAGTCCTTCAATGCCATGGACAGGAGATTAGATTTTATAGGTCGGGGGGACCATGGAAGGATTTTTAGCAGTAGAGTAATATGATTAGGTGAGAAAAAGGCCTGGGGTTTGGCAGTCTCTGCACCTCAAGGAGTTGATTAATTCCTAAGTGAATTTGCTTTGTTTCTCTTTTCCCCTAATCCTCTTATGGTCATTTGAAAGTAATCAGGGAGGGGAGAAAAAAAGGTATCTGTATCCTGTCCATAGGTAATCTATTCTCTTTGGATGGGCTACCCAGCCCTGCCTAAGCCCAGAGCTCAACTCCTCACTGGAACAGAATGGCTCGTAGTAAACAACGAGCAAATGCCAGTGACTAAATCTTTGTGCAAATAAGTGTGAGCATTAGCTTGAGGAAAAAGCCTCTTAGTAAAATTATTCAATTTTTTTGCTCACTGGGGTGTTTTACAGGAAAGGTTTTACCTTGTTTGCCAGGAAATGGTTGCCAGTGTTACAGAGGGAAATTGGCACGTGGTCCCTTCCAGCTTGCTGGGGGATAACGTAGATGTATTCTTGTGAGTGGCTGCAGAACATTACATCTGGTTTTTACTTCTGAGACTTGTCACCTCAAACCTCTTTAAAATGAGTTGGAGCACATATAAATGAAAAGGTAAATAATAGTAAAGGTCAAACAACACGAAGTTAAAATGAGGTGCAAAGACTTGCCACAGAAACATCTAGCATTGTGTAAGAGACCGTCATTCCTCCTGACAGTTTGTCAAATATCTAATCCTGGAATGAAAAGCCATAGAGGTTAGCCCAGCAGTCTGTTACAAAATCAGTGCATTACCTAAGATATGGCTTTCCCCAGCCTCTGAGGGATACATTCAGCCTCTTGAAGACAAAGCTAACTTTAAACATGCATAGCAGATGAATGCAAAAGAAAATCACCAACTCACTGACCTTCAATAAACATACGACTTCCAAGGCAAGGTCATGGAAGCTCCATAGACATATCCAGACTCCCTGAGGGACCGAATTGCTGGGCAGAGGGCTGTGGGAACCATGGTCTCGGGGAACATCTAGCTCAATTGGCATAACATAGTTTATAAAGAAAATGTT